GGGTGGGCAAACCAGACACTCTCCACATCAACACTGACAAAGAAACATCAAGAAATACTGTTTACCCACAAGCATAATTACATATATTACAAACCAACACTTTCTCATTACTTTATTTCCCAGATCAACAGACTGGGCCACAGCAATGCGTGGCAGGGGACAGCTAGTATTTTATATAGGGCCCAAGACAATTATTTTTCTTCCAGTGTGGCCCAAAAGGTTGGATTTCCCTGATATGCAACCTTTCTAGATGGGTGATCCTGAGAGTTGTAATCCAGTAAAGTATCTTTCCCAATCTGCATAAATGCTTGTAGCACCCATCCAGTGTATATATATACATACATGTAGTTTGGATTACAGTCCTCATTGTACCTGACATACCACCTTGCTCTCTATCCCAAGAGGAATGTAGCAGCCACTTTTCCCTCGTTTGTGATGCTTTCTAACTGCAAACGCATCAGGCGCTCTGCCTTTCAGGCACTGTCATTGATAACAGCCAGGGGATTAATATTATTTTTAAACTAATTAAAAGGGAATTACCATCGCAATATCTCAGAAGTCCTGATGGGCATGCGGGGGAACCAATGAAACCCTGGGCAGGCTAATCCATTTTCCTTTTCCCTCCCAAGGTGAGCCAGGTAGCAGATAATCCTGCTGGAAGCAGAACCACTTTATCAAAGAGAGATCCTTGTAATATTTGCCCCTGAGTCATTCTCGTGCCATGCAGTTTAATAAAGCGAGGCAGGTAGATAATTTGACCTTGCTGCTTTCCCTCTGAACCACTTCTTGGCAATGTGGAGAACACACACACACAAACACACATACAGTTGCACACACCCTGCAGCTTGGAGACGAGCCCTTTGATTCTATAGAGGAGGAAACTGGCCATTTCTGCTTGGAAGTAGCTTGACAGCCAGAGAGAAATAGGGAACTGAATGACCCACATGGTTTACAAAGTGTTTGGAGGCACCTTCAATTCAAAAATCTATTGAGTTTACTAAAATGCTACTATCTCTCCTGGATTGAAACCAGAGACTCATTTCCCTGTAAACACCTCTGGCAGGAAATTCACTTTTATAGCTGGATTGGGATACCTCTGACCCTCTAAATGTGGCCGAACTGCTGTTATTGACGTGCCTTTTATATTTTTAGATGCCTGTAAGACAGATTCCTTAGGTGTCATATAAAGTCAGTTAAAAGCAGCAGGAGGAAAATACTACTTTTAAGAAGCTGTAAAAATAAATTTTACATTATAACCCAGCCTTTAGAGAGCCAACTGAACACATTTCAGAAGCTGAAAACAACCGATAGGTATCGATGCAAAAACTGCTCTCTGTTTCAAAGGGACTAAAATTAAAATGATGTGGGTCCTTGACATCTGCTTGAGGGAGGTTCCAGGACCCACCGTGTATAACAGGCATGGGCAAACTTCAGCCCTCCAGGTGTTTTGAACTTCAACATTGACACTGAAATACAACACCGCCTGAGCTCTGCGAGTGCAGCATTCACACACACACACACACATATGTATATGACAGATATAGTATCATAGATTTGAAAGGAACCCCTAAAGAAGGACAATTATATGTTGCATGTTCCAGAGTAGGCAAACCAGACAATCTCTACTTCAACACTGACAAAGAAACAACAAGAAATACTGTTTGCCCATAAGCATCCAGAATCACTGGCTTGTTGTAGGTTTTTTTGGGCTATATGGCCATGTTCTAGAGGCATTCTCTCCTGACGTTTCGCCTGCATCTATAGCAAGCATCCTCAGAGGTAGTGGGGTCTGTTGAAACTAGGAAAAAGGGTTTATATATCTGTGGAATGACCAGGGTGGAACAAAAGACTCTTGACTGCTGGAGCTAGGTGTGAATGTTTCAACTGACCACCTTGATTAGCATTTGATGGCCTGGCAGTACCTGGGGCAATCTTTTGTTGAAAGGTGATTAGCTGTCCCTGATTGTTTCCTCTCTGTTGTTTTGCTGTTGTAATTTTAGAGTTTTTTAATACTGGTAGCCAGATTTTGTTCATTTTCATGGTTTCCTCCTTTCTGTTGAAATTGTCCACATGCTTGTGGATTTCAATGGCTTCTCTGTGTAGTCTGACATGGTGGTTGTTAGAGTGGTCCAGCATTTCTGTGTTCTCAAATAATATGCTGTGTCCAGGTTGGTTCATCAGGTGCTCTGCTATGGCTGACTTCTCTGGTTGAAGTAGTCTGCAGTGCCTTTCAGGTTCCTTGATTCATGTTTGGGCAATGCTGCGTTTGGTGGTCCCTATGTAGACTTGTCCACAGCTGCATGGTATACGGTAGACTCCTGCAGAAGTGAGAGGATCCCTCTTGTCCTTTGCTGAACGGAGCATTTGTTGGATTTTCTTGGTGGGTCTGTAGATAGTTTGTATGTTGTGTTTCCTCATCAGCTTCCCTATGCGGTCAGTGGTTCCCTTGATGTATGGCAAGAACACTTTTCCTCTGGGTGGATCTTTGTCCTTACTCTCATGGCTTGTTCTTGGTCTTGCAGCTCTTCTGATGTCTGAGGTGGAGTATCCATTGGCCTGTAGAGCCCAATTCATCTTTCATTCAGTTCATCTTGAAGGAGGTGGGGTTCGCAGATTCTTTTTGCACGGTCTGCCAAGGCTTTAATGGTGCTTCTTTTTTACTTGGGTGACTTGACATTAAAAAACTCTAAAATTACAACAGCAAAACAACAGAGTGGAAACAATCAGGGATATCTAATCACCTCCCAACAAAAGATAGCACCAGGCATCAACAAGCCACACCAAACAACCACCAGGCCATCAAATGCTAATCAAAGTCGTCAGTTGAAACATTCACACCTAACTCCAACAGACAACAGTTCTTTGTCCCACCCTGGTCATTCCACAGATATATTAAACCCATTTTCCTAGTTCCAACAGACCTCACTACCTCTGAGGATGCTTGCCATAGATGCAGGCAGAACGTCAGGAGAGAATGCCTCTAGAACATGGCCATATAGCTAAAAAAAAACAAACCCTACAACAACCCAACAAGAAATACTGTTTAACCACAAGCATAAAGAAATTACATAGATTAGAAACCAGCACTTTCTCATTACTTTATTTTCCGGATCACCAGGCTGGGCCACAGCAACATGTGGCAGGGAATGGCTAGAAATAAATAAATAAATAACAGGGTTCAAATTTGTTTCCCTATGATAAAAAATGTTTCCCATTCCTGTCTTAAACTGTGTAGTATTTCTGTTTCTTAACATCCAGATTCTTCTCCCTTTTCCTACCAGAGGAATTGTGGATTTAGCTGTGATTTCTTGGGTCACTGAGTGTGTAACACCTTGGTCTTGGTGGATGATAGAGGTCATCCCCCTTTCACTCAAATTCAGACTTGCCAACTGGTATGAAAAACGAGTGTTTCGATGGATCCTTAGAATTGTGTTTGCCTTTGGTCCCACATATTTATTTATACAATGCATATAAAGTATATATAGACAAATTTAGAAAAGGAAAAGCAATACTTCTGCTTCTAAACCACTTCTATCTGATTGCTTAATTGTGGATTTTGCATGGTTATTTATTAGGAGAAAGTGTTCTATCCCGTTGCCTCTAAGTTATTGATTTTCCTCCTCTCCTTACTCTTCCTTGTTTCCTTTTCTTTTTTCTTGTTTGCTGTTATATATTTTTTCCTTCTCCTGTCCTTCCTTCCTGTTTAAGTATCTGAATATAGCACACAACCTTTGTCATGAAGAGAGTGCTCTAGTTGCATCCTAATTTGAGAGAATTGCTTTTTGACTGCAATAATAATAATAATAATAATAATAATAATAATAATAATAATACCTTATTTATAACCCACCCTCTCTCCTCGAAGGGACTAATGGCGGTTTCCAAAGTATAACAAAAATGTATTGGCAAAGGCTTTCATGGCCGTAATCAATGGGTTGTTGTAGGTTTTTTCGGGCTATATGGCCATGTTCTAGAGGCATTCTCTCCTGACATTTCGCCTGCATCTATGGCAAGCATCCTCAGAGGTAGTGAGGTCTGTTGGAACTAGGAAAGTGGGTTTATATAAGATTGCCCCAGGCACTGCCTGGCCATCAAATGCTAATCAAGGTTGTCAGTTGAAACATTCACACCTAGCTCTAACAGACAAGAGTTCTTTGTCCCACTGTGGTCATTCCACAGATATATAAACCCACTTTCCTAGTTCCAACAGACCTCACTACCTCTGAGGATGCTTGCCATAGATGCAGGCGAAACATCAGGAGAGAATGCATCCAGAACATGGCCATATAGCCCAAAAAAACCTACAACAACCCATATAACAAAAATGGCAAATATTAAATGTCAAAACAAACAATCAACAATCAAGATGAAACATGAAATAAAATAAATATAACTTGGCCCCCCTGGTGGTGCAACAGATTAAACTACTGAGCTGTTGAACATGCTGACCGAAAGGTCAGCAGTTTGAATCCGAGGAGCGGGGTGAGTTCCTGATGCTAGGCCCAGCTTCTGCCAACCCAGCAGTTCAAAAACATGCAAATGTGAGTAGATCAATACCTTCTGCAGGAAGGTAACGGCACTCCATGCAGTCATTCTGGCCACATGACCTTGAAGGTGTCTATGGACAACACCGGCTCTTCAGCTTAGAAATTGAGATGAGCCCCACTCCCCAGAGTTGGACGCAACGAGACTTAATGTCAAGGGGAATCCTTTACCTTTACCTTTAAATATAACTTCTAAACAACTAAAACACAATACATTAAGAGCATAATATTTTTCAACTCCCACTATTCCCCAGTAAGTGTCCATGTTGGCTGGAGGATTTGAGGAGTAGTGATCCAAACAACAACTCTGATTTTAAGTCTCTAACATCCCTGTGGTTGTTTTTGTTTGTTTGTTTGTTTGTTTATGTCCAGCTGTTTAGGGGTAACTGGAGCTAGATTGGCTGAATTTTTGGTGCAATGATTGACACTAACACTTGATTCCTGGTCTCATTACAGGGTTCAAAGAGAGTCCTGAGATCCAATGAATATGTTCTACCCCCGGGAGGCTTGATGGAAACCGACCTGGAACTGACCTTTTCATTGCAGGTAATTTGACCTTTGCAGCAGTGAAAGCAGAGATTCCTCCCTGAGTGAAATAGGTAATATTCTTGTCTGTTCTTCCTGCTGTCTTGTGAAGAGACAATGCATCACTGGGGATTCCTTTTTCACTCTGTTAATAGAGTTTAGTCTGCCAAAAGTGGGATAGAATTGAATATTGGATAGCAAAATGCTTTTTGTGGTTACTCAGAAGCAAACTCTACTCAATTCAGTGGATCTTACTCCCTTGGAAAAGTGTTTTAGGATTACAGATTGAGATTCTTCATGGATATGCAAGAGTTTTGGATGAGTAAAGGGCTTACCATGGTTTTGACAATGAGCACAGAAGAGAGGTTAAAGCTGTTTCCTTGGTTTTCTAATAGACATGGAATCAGAGTTGCATGGAAAAACAATATATGTTTCTGTATCTTCCTTTGTAGTACCCACACTTCCTGAAAAGAGATGGCAACAAGCTTCAAATCATGCTCCAGCGGAGAAAGAGATACAAGAACCGCACAATTTTGGGCTACAAAACTCTGGCTGTGGGCATTATTAACATGGCTGAGGTAAGGGAATCAGCAAGGCTAGATATAATGGCAGGCATTTTTCACTTTAAACCATCTTAGAGCTGATTGGAGTTGCTTGTATAGCAGGCCTGTGCAAACTTTGGGCCTCCAGGTGTTTTGGACTTCAACTCCCACAATTCCTAACCGCTGATAGGCTATTAGGAATTGTGGGAGTTGGAGAGTCAAAGTTTGCCCAGACCTGTTGTGTAGGATACTTTTCTGATAGCTGGACACTTCACTAAGGATTTTGTCATTTAATATTAATGGAAGGACATTGATACCTCATAGAGGATATGTTAAGGAAATAGAAATATTGGAAACTACCTTATACTGACTCAGACCGTTGGTCCTATCATTTATTTATTTAAATTTATTCAAAACTTTTATATCCCAATCTTCTCACCTCCGTAGAGGGACTCAGACCGGCTTGCAGACACACTTTATCAGTGGATAAAGTGTGTCTGCAAGATGTTTTCTGCAGACTCTGAAATAACAACAACAACAACATTTTATTTATAGTCCGCCCTGTCTCTCCAAGGGGACTCAGGGTGGATCACAGTACACATACATGGCAAACATTTAATGCCGTTTGGATGGACAGGACAGAACAGACAGAAAGGAGGTACAGCTTTTTGGCACCTTTGAAGGTTGTGTTGAATGTGTTAAAATACCTCCCCCGCTTTTTTGCGGTATCTAATTTCTCTACTTACAGCTCTACGCTGTTTTTGAACTGCTTAGGTAAACAGTGAGCTGGGCTGACAGTCAGGTGCTCATCCCGACCCAGGTATTGGTGATGATTTACCAGCTGTGCTAAACCCCATCCCAAATAGCTTGATATCTCCCCAAATAGCTTTCAACTGGAAAAAGAAATATCTGGATGATTTATTTGCCCATGAACACTTAAAAACAGCCACAAATCATGGCTTCCTTTATCCATCCCACCCAAAGTCCTGTAACACATAGAAGGTGGAAAACTAGGAGAGCCGTTTCTTGTGAGGATCAACAGCACTGAACTAAAGGGACTAGTGAATTAAATTGATGGAAAACAGCTTCCTGAAAGAATTCCTTCACTGACATTAACAATTTCCTTTCATAGGTCATGCAGCACCCAACCGATGGAGGGCAGCTCTTGGGCTTGCACAGCAACATCAAGGATGTGAGCATCCGGGTGGCCGAAATCAGCATCTATTCCCTCTCCAGCCAGCCCATTGACCATGAAGATGGGAATGTCCCCTCTGGTCCTAAAATTAAAGCTTCTGGTAATGTATTGCTCCGAAGAGTGAAAACCATGTGGGAATTCAATTGAATCTCACCTCAGAAACCTCCTTATACATTGATCTTTAACCCTTTTTCTTTCAGATAGCACAAGTATTAATCTGTAAAGTGTGAAATATATTAACTATGGTCCTACATATCTGAAGGACGCCAGAATAAGAGATACTGGCTCATTTGAAGTTCCCTTTCACTTTTGTAGGAATTTTTCTTCATTCCTCTTTTACAAGTTCGGGTTCATTTATCCATCGTATCTGCCTTTTCTCATTCCAGACCGCTCTCCAGATATTGATAACTATTCAGAAGAAGAGGATGACAGTTTTTCTTCTGAGCAGGAAGCCAGCGATGATGCAGTACAAGGCCAGGTATCTGATTCCTTCCTCTTTCCATCCTGCACGTTTGTTTATCACATATGTGACATGGAACCATAGAACGCTAGAGCTAGAAGGGACCACAAGGACCACTTAGTACATTTCCACACCATGGAATCACACACAACTAAAGCACTCCTTAGAGATGTCCACCTAACTTTTGTTTGAAGACCTCCAAAGAAGGAGAGTCTATATCTCGTTCCTCAAGACTACTCTTACAGTTCAAAAAATACCCTATACATTCAATTATAAGCCAGCCCAAATATAAACCGAGGCATCTAATTTTACCGCAAAAAACTGGGAAAACATATTGACTCGCATATAAGCCGAGAGTGGGAAATGCAGCAGCTACTGGTAAATTTCAAAATAAAAATAGATACCAATACATTAATTGAGGCATCGGTGGGTTAAATGTTTTTGAATATTTACATAAAACTGTAATTTAAGATAAGACTGTCAACCTCTGCTTAAGCCATTATTCTAACCTTCTACGATGTAAATGTGCTTACGTATCCTTCCAATAATAATAAATGGAGTAAACTAATAAATGTAATAATAATAATAATAATAATAATAATAGAGTAAACTAATAAATGTAATAATAGTAATCAATAGAGTAAACTAATAAATGTAATCATAATAAATAGAATAAAATAATAAATGTAATCATAGTAATAGAGTAAAATAATAAATGTTATAATTATACATAGAGTAAAATAATAAATGTAATAATAGTAATAGAGCAAAATAATAAATGTATTAATAACAATAATAGAGTAAAATAATAAATGTAATTATAGTGATAAATAGAATAAAATAATACATGTATTTATTTATTTATTTATTTATTTACTTTGCTTATATACCGCTGTTCTCAGCCCGAGGGCAACTCACAGCGGTGAACAACATAGAAGGACAAGGTTCAAAATTCAACACAATCTAAAATATCAATCTAGCAATAATCAAAAACATCAACAAAACACAACAATATTAAAATACAAAAAGCCATTCGCGTCATCTCATAGTTTAAACCACAATCCAGTATCCTTTTCCGTTGTTCCATTCCTGTCGTCATTACCAATTATTGCATTTCTTGTTCAAACGCCTTCTTGAACAGCCAAGTTTTTAATTTCCTGCAGAATATCATCAGGGAAGGAGCCAGCCTGATGTCCACGGGAAGGGTGTTCCACAGCCGAGGAGCCACCACCGAGAAGGCCCTGTCTCGTCCCCGCCAGGCGTGCCTGTGAGGCAGGCGGGATCGAGAGCAGGGCCTCCCCGGATGATCTCAAAGTCCTCGTGGGCTCGTAGGCCGAGATGCAGTCAGCTAGGTATCTTGGGCCGGAACCGTTTAGGGCTTTATAGGCCAATGCCAGCACCTTGAATTGAGCCCGGTAGCAAATCGGCAGCCAGTGGAGCTGGTACAACAAGGGCGTTGTATGCTCCCTGCGTCCGCTCCTGTTAGTAGCATGGCTGCCGCACGTTGGACCAATTGAAGCTTCCGGGCCGTCTTCAAGGGCAACCCCACGTAGAGAGCGTTGCAGTAGTCTAAACGGGATGTAACCAGAGCGTGGACTACCGTGTAATAATAGTAATAAATAAAAGTAAAATAATAAATGTAATAATAAATAGCATAAAATAATAAATGTAATAATAGTAATAAACATACTAAAATAATAGATATAATATTAATAAATAGAGTAAAATAACAAATATAATAACAATAATAATAATAATAATAATAATAATAATAATAGAGTAAAATAATAAATAATCTTGACTCGAGTATAAGCCCGGGAAGGGTTTCCTACCTTAAAAAAGGACTGAAAATCTCGACTTATCCTCACGTATATATGGTAGTTTTTCCTAATGTTTAGGTGGAATCTCTTTTTCTTTTAAGTTGAACCCTTCATTTTCTATTCCAGTCTCTGATACAGGAGAAAATAAGATCCCTGTCATCTACATGTCAAGATTTCAGATATTCAGAGATGGCTATCATGTCATTTCTCAGGGTGTATCTACACTGTAGAATTAAGCCAGTTTGGCACCACTTTTACTGCCATAGCTCAGTGCTATGAAATCATGGTTGTTGTAGTTATTCATCTTTCGCTGTTGAATATTTTGAAAACTATTTTTACAATGCTAGACTTGTTTTATTGTCTGTACCTTCTCTGAAATTTCCGGCTCTATACTAGAAATATTTTAATTAATACATACATAAACATTCAATCTACTCCTAGTTTTCCTCCAGGCTTTCTCGATTCCAGTATAGATTAATTCAGAAGAGGAGAAAGGTCTTTTTTTTTACTGTCATTATCGTTAATCCATTTGGTGCTAGACAACTTTGCTGATATACTGCAAATTACCCGGAAATCTTCCAATAGATCCTGATGTACCTGTCTCCCACTCCTGCCTTGATTAAGACACATGATTTTCTCCCTGCGCTGTCTTTTCTAGCTGTGATTGCATTGATGCCGGGCACATCTTGTTTCTGCCTCTTGCCAATGCCACAGTCAACCCTTGTGGGCTTATTTTTGCCAGATTTGATTAATATCTCTCTAGCGTTCTCTAGGTCTGGAGGCTAACCATCCCATTGTCAAAGGCTTTCATAAAGGGAATCTGGGCCGTATGGCCATGTTCCAGAAGCATTCTCTCCTGATGTTTTGCCTGCATCTATGGCAGGCATCCTCAGAGGTTGTGAGGTCTGTTGGAAACTAGGCAAGTGGGGTTTATATATCTGTGGATATACACAGAGGCGGCCCTAGGTAAGTTTCAATGGTAAGCAAACAGTATTTTGCCCCCCCCCCCAACCAATCACCCATATATATTTTCTGTTCATCGTGGGAGTTCTATGTGCCATATTTGGTTCAATTCCATCATTGGTGGAGTTCAGAATGCTCTTTGATTGTAGATGAACTATACATCTCAGTAACTACTACTCGCATATGTCAAGGTCTACTCAAGAGCGCCCCTGGGCAARATCAACTATACTGCAAATTCTTACTTTGCGTAATGGGTTGAGCCACCCCTGGATATGCAGTAAATAAAGAACAACACTCAAAAACAGGGGAATTCCAGACAAGAAACAATCAGGGCCAGCTAATCGCCTCCCAACAAAGGATTCCCCCAGGCAGTAAGCAGCCAGATCTTGAGGCTGCAAGGGCATTAAATACTAATCGAGGTGGCCAATTGCAACATTCACACTTGCCTCAAATAGACAAGAGTTCTATCCTGGACATTCCACGGATATATAAACCCCACTTGACTAGTTTCCAACAGACCTTGCAACCTCTGAAGATGCCTGCAGGCGAAATGTCAGGAGAAAATGCTTCTGGAACATGGCCATACAGCCTGGAAAACTCACAGCAACCTGTCATGCCAACTAGATTTGATGCAGATGACTGACATGGTTTTAAGCAGTGATTTTAATGTCGAGATCCATGCATGTGCATAATTTATTTGTCCCAGCATTGAATGTTTGCCGTTTGGATGTTGTGCTCCACCCCGAGTCCTCTTCAGGGTGAGAAGGGTGGAATATAAATGCTTTCAATAAATAAAATAATAAATAACCACAGCATTTTGCTGGAGGACCTGAGAAAACACCTCTCAAGGAATCTCTATGCCCCTCCATGCAACTCCATGTCAACGTTTATTTGCAGGATTTCCATTTTTAAGGTTTCCCCAGCAAATACAGAGGACTGACTGTAATCAGCTTGTTATGGTCTCACACAAAATAGAGAGGAATGACAAAGATGGGTAGCAGATGGCTCTTAGTGTAGGAGAGAGGCCAAATCCCAGGGACTGCAGATGGGAGGGATGTTTTTCCTGCCGTGTAAAATTGGGATTTATAAGGAAAACGTCTCCCTCCTTCACTTGCTTAAGAAGACAGTGATACTTCAGTGACAGGGAATTCTGAGACTAAAATTAACTTTCCCAAGCTCGGCTCATTACTTTGATAAGGTAATTTTCCAGACTTTGTAAGCTGCCTTCTGGGTAAAACCTTCCAACATTATTGATCTTTTCCTAGAAGATGCCCTGTTAGGAATTCAATATACAAAAATCCTAAGGAAGAATTTGAGGAGAGGGGGAGACCACTTTGCGTGGCAGTTTCTTCTGTTGACGTGTTGCCGTTTCTTGCTATTCAGGATTTATACGATGAAGAAGACGAAGTGCGGAAGCCGAAGAAAGCCAGGCGGAAAATGATCAGAACCACGTCGATGACAAGAGTACAGTCAATTGTTCTCTTCTTTCTGAAAGAGGGGAAATATCATGGTGTGAATATCCAGCTGCAGAGACTGGGGTGGGAGGCTGTCTGATTCTCCCAGCAGATGACAGCCTAGAGCAGGCATGGGCAAACTTCAGCCCTCCAGGCTGTTAGGAATTGTGGGAGTTGAAGTCCAAACACCTGGAGGGCCAAAGTTTGTCCATGCCTGGCCTAGAGTATGGTGCTGTTGTAGGAATATCTATCGGTTGAAGCCATTGCTTCTCTTGATCCTCTGTGACCCCTTGGACCTGGCAATTGGCAAGAAGAGGTTTAAAGCTCTTCTTTAGTCTTTTCTCTAAGGTTTGTAGAGACAGAAAAGTGCCAACCTTCTTTGTGTTAGGGATTCCTCATCTTCGGAACAGGAAGGGGAGCAGGGAAGTACTCAGGAATTGGAGGGAGAAGAAGAATCAGACGATGAGGGTTTAAAATTGCCCACATTTCTAGAGAGACAAAAAGAGACAAAGCACAGACAGCGTTCAGCTAGGATAGCTGCTAAAAACACTGAGCTAATTGGGAGAAGCCATAGCACCTCCTGCATAGGGAATTCAGGGCTATAAATCAGAAGCAGGAGCAGTCAGCTTTCGCTGATAATGACCCTAATACTAATGTTTTCACTCCAATGGAATCTGCTTTGTATCTGCTGCTAAGGACTTAGTTTATTGCCCGTTGTCTGATGGAAGACTGGTGTTTGTTTTGGGACTTTGTAAGAGACTTTAATTTGTGTCTGGATTAAGACTTCCTTGCTTTCTTTTGCACTTTTCAATTGCATTTGTTTATCCTTTGTGGTTGCTGAAGTAAAGCACGTTTCTTTTACTTTCAACATTGTCTAAAGCAGTGGTTCTCAACCTGGGTTCCCCAGATGTTTTTGGCCTACAGCTCCCAGAAATCTCAGCCAGTTTATCAGTTGTTAGGATTTCTGGGAGTTGTCGGCCAAAAACATCTGGGGACCCCAGGTTGAGAACCACTGCTGTAAAGGCTGTTTTTGAAGGCCAACTCAGGACACTTTGCCTGGTTGGCACCCATATCACAACACTACATGGCATGTCCTGTTTGTCTTATTTACTCACTTCCTACTTAACTGCTTCCATGAAACTCCATGAAGTGAACTCTATGAACTACTTTCAGGGCAAGTGCTTAGGCAGATCACCGGGCCAGATCTGTTCAAGAATTCAGACTATACCAGGCATGGGCAAACTTCGGCCCTCCAGGTGTTTTGGACTCTAACTTCCAAAATTCCTAACAGCCAGGCTGTTAGAAATTGTGGGAGTTGAAGTCCAAACACCTAGAGGAACCAAGTTTGCCCATGCCTGTGTTATAGAGATCTCTAGATAGGGAACTGTAACTGGAGAGGAGTACTGTCACAGAGGGGATTGAGCAAAGCACCAGTAGCTAAGGGTTTTGTCAGGATCTGTACATCTTGACAGGTCTCTCAAGGAGTTGATACAGACAGTCTATCCCAACAATGTTTTGCTGATGTTTGTTAAGACTGAGGGTTGGTGCCTGCTCTCTCATCACTCCCTGCTTGGCTCATGTAAATAGCCATACCCATTGGCAGCACAGTATTATAACAAGAATGGAAGCTGCAATAAATGCCATGAATGAAGGGGAATGGAAAATCTACTGTAGCATTCCCAGTAAGATGCCCAAGTTTCAACAGCTATTGGGAAAAGATGGCAACCAGCTTGTGTGGGAAATCATTGGTAGCCTACTCAGAAGCCCCCAAAATCTGGACCTACAAGTAGTTTTTGTCTGTGAGTTGAGAACTCATTCCCCTCAGAAAAAATCTCTGTTTTGCTGTACATGTTTCCAGAGGTTGCAAATGTTACACTCTTTTTTGGACTACAGTTCCTTTCATATGGTTGCCATAGTCATCATTTAAAAAAAAAAAACAACTCCATAGTCCCCAGAAGTGTCTTTTTCCCCAGCTGTGGTTTTTGTGGTTAGGTAGAGTGGTAAATGAAAACCCAACCACACTCTCATTGATTTCCTTTTCATTGCAGCAACCAAACTTCAAGCAAAAATTTGTTGCCTTGCTGAAGAGGTTCAAAGTGACAGATGAGGTAAGAGGCTGTAAGCTTGTCTCTGTCCGACGTGTTTCCTCTCTTGCAAAACTCATCTCACTATGAGCTTTTGATCAAGATCACAGTGTAGACTTCATGTCCATCCATGTTCCTCTTGCCTTCTGTGAGAGAAGAGTTTAATATGGTGGGAGCCAAGACTTTTAGAGTTAGTGTGGGCTATTCAAGCAAATTGCCCTGAACCAAAAGACAGAAGAGATCTTTGCCTGTTATTCCATGTTGGAATGATCTGTGGCTCTGTATATGCAAGCTGCAATCCGTAAAATTAGGAGATAGAGAATCTGTGGACCACACAGCTTCCATCATCACTATCATTCAGTGTAGTGAGGACTGATAAGAGTTGGGTCCAACCTTGGATTTTTTGGGAGGGGAAATGGCAATCATAACCTTTTTGAAAAGGAAATTATTATGTCATATCCTTTTGGCAAATGAACATCTGGAGACCACCTTTTGAAAACCACTAGTCAAGGAAAGGCATGTTAGAAATCAACCCTTTGAACAAGTGATGTTCACAAGCATTCATGTCGTGGCACACAGGTAACTCAGCTGTTAAACTGATAAACCATGTCTTTGAACTGCCAGGGACAAAGTCATGCCATTGCAGAAATATATATATAATTGGCTAGCAGAGTTTTAAAATTGTTTCTTTGAATTTGAAGTTGAAATTGCAGTTGCCCAAAACATATACTCTCCCTTGAAACCTCTTAGTTTAAAATTTGCACTCAGAGACAAAAAGCAAAGTCTTCTTTGAAAAATAACGTATCTTGTTTACTCACAAACATCTTGTATTACTTCACCATACAGGCACATTTCTTATTAAAGTTCAGTTATAGATAGGGTGTAGTTTATCTGTGTTGAGAACATAGGGCATCATTCTTAATCAATAGTCCATAATCCCAAAGTGTTTAAGTATATATCGTATGAAAGTCCAAACTCTTTAATTTTACTCACTGCTTCTAAAAGCAAACATATAGTAAACTGTTCCTGCGTAAGTCCAAAAAACATACTGTTTCCATTGAAGTCCAAAAGCATAGTGATAACAAAATGGAGTCTTGAGTCTGAACATGTTCAGTACAATCACATGCCTGTAGCCCCTCCCATATCAAAGAGGTCAGTCTAACTGTCAAATCAACATATGCATACAATACAGATTAGCAAATATATACATTAACAAACAAATAGTGAAGGCATAGAAAGGTTGCTATTTCCAGCAGGATTGGGGTCTAACCAAGGGTTCTTTCAGTAGGATGAGGCTTTCGAACCATGGCATCATCCAAATATTTGTGTCTGCTATCCCATGGCCCCCAGGCACCATGATGTTGCTGGTTTGAAACAATGAGGATTGCCATCCAACATTTCTGGTGGCAGTGGGTTATGGAAGGCTGCACTCAGCTAGAAATGAATCTGGATCATATATTTATAGTTTCAGTTCAGAAGGATAATCATGGTATCTTAAGTATCTCTCAGGCACACACACACATATATACACCACTCCCCATTCGTTAGAAGTAGGTTAACCACCCTCCCTCCTCCCACTCTCACAATATGCTGTTGCTTGTTATTTCCTGCAGATGAAAAAAAAACTTTCTAGGTCCCCTTTTAATCATTTTTTTCCTGTCCTCATTTAGCATTCACAGCTTCCCTCATTAGTAATATCTGCAAATGTCATTAACATGCTCTTTTAATGCCATCTTCTCTGAACCAAAGAGAGAGAGAAATCATTTTCTGCCAAACACCTCCTAATGGCCAATATGTTCCACTTTTTATGTTATAGCACCATCCTGTTGGTTTTGTTTTCTCTGCTGGGTTCAGATCATTGAAATATCATCATTAAAGATTTCCACACCCTTAATGGTCCTACCAGATCACAGCAGGCCACAGAAGATGTGGCCACAGGGCATGGGATGCAGTTTGGTTACAAAGAATGGACAGGATCAAGAAGGGGAAAGTGGACAGTGTTATGTAGTTATTTCTGAACTGCTGAAAAAGAGTATCTGGGGGCATCAGTAACCTAGACCTGTTTACTTTGGCTCAGAATTTAGGAGAATTGTTTTTCTGAACTACAGTTCCCAGTATCCACAACTATGCTTCTAGGATTTAATAATCCAAAGCAGTAAGCTCTCCCAAGCTTGGCACTAGCTGCTGCAGGTCACTGAATCAAGAAGACTGGAAAGAGGTTTCCTAGGATTGGGTTGTTGTAGGTTTTTCAGGCTGTATGGCCATGTTCTAGAAGCATTCTCTCCTGACATTCCGCCTGCATCTGTGGCAGACATCCTCAGAGGTCTTGGAACAATTTTTCCACGTAGAGATGTTCAATGTATCGTTGAAGGCTTTCATGGTTGGAATCACTGGGTTGTTGTAGGTTTTTCGGGCTGTATGGCCAAGTTCTACAAGCATTCTCTCCTGACATTCCGCCTGCATCTGTGGCAGGCATCCTCAGAGGTCTTGGAACAGTTTCTCCACGTAGAGATGTTCAATGTATCGTTGAAGGCTTTCATGGCCGGAATCACTGGATTGTTGTAGGTTTTTCGGGCTGTATGGCCATGTTCTAGAAGGTCTTGGAACAGTTTCTCCCCATAGAGAAACTGTTCCAAGACCTCTGAGGATGCCTGCCTCTGAGAATGCCTGCCCATAGAGAAACTGTTTCCTATGATTCATTGGATATCTGACAACTCTATCATTTGTTTATTTGCCTTGCAAAAGTAGAAGGCAACCCCACTGGATTCAGTTAGATCAGACAAGGGCCAACTTGGGTCCTTCAGGTGTTTTGGACTTCAACTCCCATAATTCCTAACAGCTGGTAACAATGAAAGGTGTCATGAGTAATAGTTCACATCTGATCTTCTCAAAATTTGGGAATTTGTGAAGCGAAAGGAGGTTATTAATCTCATAATTCACATAATATAATATTCCCAAGTTCTACATCTGCCAACAAGATCCTACATACTTTGTTTAATGACATTATCACGTGATAACTTAGTGGTAAGAATTGCCTTTATGGATAGAGTTTTCATATAAAAAGCAAAGATGGAGAGTGTACCAGTAGTCCTCAGGTGTAGAAGAATCAAAAGATGGAAGTCTATGTTTGAACCAACCCTACACTGAAGCATTGGACATAGATTATTTGTACATAACTCTCAGGGGCATTTTCCTCTGTATTTAAGAAAGGGTTTTGTTTTTATTGTTGATTAATCTCCAACCCAGTGAATGGTGTTTTTGGCAGACTCATTTCCAGACTGCTGTTTTACACTATCTTGGAGATGCTAAGGACTGAACGAAGGCTAACCTGATAAACTGTGGCTATTCTCAGGTGCATGATTTAGACCAATTTTATTTATTTATTTATTTATTTCCCACCTTTCTATCATGTCCTTCTCAACCCCCAAAGGAGGACTCAGGACCAGCGAAAGTTAAATTACATTTTTAAGTATTCTGCAATTTTAGGGTGTGTTTATACTGTTCTCAACCTGTGGGTCGCAACTCCTTTGGGGGTCGAATGGCCCTTTCACAGGAGTCACCTAAGACCATCGGAAAACACATATTTCCAATGGTCTTAGGAACTGAGACACCGCTAACTTTTCCCCACCCCATTCGCTTCCCAGAGGCCTCTTCTACTTCTTTGTAGGCAGGTGGTGATGTCACTCAACCCCGTTCCCTCCGCCCACTCTGCCATTTTAGGAGGAAGAGACAGGAGCAATGGAGGTGAGGTTTGCTTTGGAGCTAAGGAGGAGGAGGTGGTAGAGGTGGAGAGGAGAAGGTGAAGGGGGGCTAGGGGGAGGGAAGGGCTTAGAGAAGGGTGGAGTGGCCCTTCCATGGCTGAATCTCAAGGAGAAAGAAAATTAACAAAGAAAATACAGCCTGCTTATCAGATATTTACATTGCTATTCACAATAGTAGCAAAATTACAGTTATGAAGTAGCAACGAAAATAATTTTATGGTTGAGGGTCTCCACAACATGAAGAACTGTATTAAAGGGTAGAGGCATTGGAAAGTTGAGAACCACTGCTGTAGACTTAATGCAGTTTGACATCATTTTACTTGCCAAGGCTCAATTTTTTAGAATCCTCGGGTTTGAGGTTTGGTGAGACAGAGGAAGCTAAAGACTTTGTGAAACTAGAACTCCCTGGCTTCCATAACATTGAGCCATGGCAGTGAATGTGGTATCAAACTAATTCTGTGAGCCGCCGTAAATCACCATAAGGTTGAGAAAGGCGGGCAACAAATGCCATAAATAAATAAATTGGCATAGAGACTGTGACACAACTGAGTAAGCATTTAAAGCCAGGTCCAAACCTATTGTCGACACAATTGTATTAAATCTGTCCTCTATTTTCCATATGTGCAGAGTCCCATCCCTTCCCTTGTATACAAAAAGCTATATTCAGTTGTTGGTCTCCTGTAAAACAGACCCATAGAATCCATGGATTTCCCTAACTCTCCATTTGATTCAGTGAGTCTACTGTAGTCGATTTAGTTCAGAATTCATACAGAGTGTTTGGGGTGAGTCTTTTAAAAATTCCTAATGCGACATAAATCTGACTTTTCCTCCTGAAGGCTGATACAGAAAACTGCGAGAGAGTTGTTTATGACATGACATAATTTTGCCCTAGAAAGGTAAAGAAACTGTGTGTCTTAAGGGACCTGTTTAAAACAATATCTTGACAAGGCAGTGATAAGAGATCTTCCAGGGTTTTTTTTTTATGATGTGTTATAGTTTTCAGAAGTTTTGTTAAACAAGAATAACTCAGCTTGCAGACCAGCTGTCTTGTTTCTCTAAAGACAAACTGTTCTCGTAGGGGTCGGCCTTCTCTAATCTCCTTATGTGGGTAATTTTGTATAGAGCAAAGTATTTCGTGCAGAATCTGGCACTTAGAATCCTTTTTGAAACACACTGCAATGCAAGTACATGTGCTGCATCTCTTGCAACACTGACAAAACAAATTAAATGATAAGAGAGCATATAAGAAATATGAATCAAGCCGAAGTCTCAATGATGTGTGAAGCGGATTACAACATGATTATCCTCATAAATCAGATAAGACCAAACTCAAGCTTGAAAAGTTATTTTTCGATTATTATTATTACTCCCAGGATTGGGAGATTTTGGTCGTTATAATCTCAGAAGTTGCATACAAGATGGCATCAATCAAGTTCCAGAATATTTTTACTCAAACTATTGAGATTCACCAAGTGCAGCCAAGTGCAAGAGGGTGGCTGTGACAGATAAAGATATACAGCCCGAAAAACTTACAGCAACCCAACGTACATTTATTTATTTATTTATTTACTTACTTACTTACTTACTTACTTATCATGTCAGAAGCTAATTGTAGGTGCAGTTATAATGTATTTTTTTAAAAAAACACAAAGTTTTAAAACTTGGCATTATGCGAGATTTTCTTTGGCCAGAGCTAACCACTTGGTGTGCCTCTGGTGTAGCTGTGAGGAGGTCCTCCATTGTGCATGTGCCAAGGCTCAGACTACATTGTAATAGGTGTCTGTGGTATGCCTTTCTCCACACTCACATGTCATGGACTCCACTTTGTAGCCCCATTTCTTAAGCATTTCGTGGTGCCAGAGTGAAGTCTGCTCAGAGCCTTCCAAGTTGCCCCGTCTTCTCTGTGCCCATGAGGGAGTTTCTCATCCGGTCTCAGCCACTGATTGAGGTTCCAGTTTTAGCCTGCCATTTTGGACTCCCACTTGCTGAGGTGTACCTATGAGTATCTCTGTATTTATTTATTTCACATATTTGTATCCCGCCCTTCTCACCCTAAATGGGGACTCAGGGCGTCCTTATAGCAGGCAGCTTTTCAATGCCAATACATATAAATATAAAAATAAACAAATACAATTACAGGTCATGACCTATAAAGCCCTAAACGGTTCGGGCCCCGCCTATCTCCGCGATCACATCTCCTTCTATGAACCGGCGCGAACTCTAAGATCTTCCGGGGAGGCCCTCCTCTCGGTCCCACTACCGTCTCAAGCCCGGTTGGTGCGGACGAGAGAGAGGGCCTTCTCAGTGGTGGCCCCCCGCCTCTGGAACGACCTTCCAAGGGAAGTAAGACAGGCTCCATCCCTCCCCTCCTTTCGTAAGAGCTTGAAGACCTGGTGGTTTCAACAAGCCTTTGAAAATGGCCAGTTCTAACTCAGCCCTATACATTGTTGAATACGGCCTTATTCTTCCTACCAATTACCCAGATCATTTCCTCTAGTCGACCCTGGAATGAACAGCCACAGACCTGTACCTAATATTATTGTTGCCTGCTATAGCATTGTATTTAATTCCCGGACCCCTAGAATTTTTGGGCTTGCACAAATCTTGGCCCGGCCTTTTAAAAAAATTTAATTGCCTTGAACAGGCAGGATTACTTTTAATATATGTGTGTCATGGCGACAATTTTTATGCATATTTTGTTTGTTAATCTTGTGGTTATGTTGTTTTTACTTTGTATGTTCTGTGATTTTTACCTGGGAACCGCTCTGAGTCCCCTCGGGAAGATAGAGCGGTATATAAATAAAGTTTTATTATTATATTATTATTATATTAACACCATACAATTAAACATTGATTATTAAAACATCAATTAAAATCATGTAATCCAGATCATAGTCCAAGGCCTGTCCAATTGTCGATTCCATTAGTCCGTTTTCCTTATTGCATTATTTACTGGTTGAATGCTTGGTCCCACAGCCATGTCTTAAGCTTCTTCCTGAAGCTTTTTTTAGGGACTGTGATGTATAAGTAGATTGTTTTAATTGTCTTAATTGCTGTTTATATATGTTTTATTTCTTACTTTGTTGTTGTGCTGGCATCAAATTGTGCCTTTTTGTAAGCCGCCCTGAGTCCTCCCTCGGGGGTTGAGAAGGGCAGGGTAGAAGTGTGAGAAATAAATAAATAAATAATAAATAAGACAGGAGGGAGGGAGCTGACCTGATTTCAATGAGGAGGGAGTTTCATAGGCAAGGGGCCAACACTGAGAAGGTCCAGTCGTGTTTGTGAAGGTGGTGGGATCAAGAGCAGGGCCTCTCCCTCTATGATCCACCTCGGATGTTAAGATCATTCTCCAATGATCTTAACATCCGAGGTGGGTCATAGAGGGAGATACGTTTGGACACCCTAAGCCAAGCCGGAACCATTTAGGGCTTTATAGGCTAAAGCCAGCACTTTGAATTGTGCTCGGTAGCAGAGTGGCAGCCAATGGAGCTGGTGTGATGGACGTTGTGTACGCCACTCCAGTGAGCATTCTGGCTACCACCTGTTGGACCATTTGAAGCTGTAGATCTTAGAAAGCTTGTTTCTTGATTTAAGGCAATTGTATGGGCCGGAGATGCCTTGATCCTTTCATTATTGGCTGCTACTTCCTGGCAGATGTCAGGTGGTGCAAGGTACATTAAGAACAAAGAAACAACGTGCCCCTAAGCATATTCCAAATGTAGGGACTTGAGAGCAGTACCAGCTCTGAAGTTCTTCCATATAAAAACCCAGTTTTGTTTACCCCCAAACTTTATTTCCTAGCAAATTAATTCAGAATGGAAGATGTTTTTAGTTGTTGTTGCCCAGAAATCTTTGATGATCTTCTGAAAAAGAGAACCCTTCATATTCTAATGACTATTGCCTGAGGGAGAGAAGAAGAAGAGCTAGTGGGAGCCCCTCCACTGCCATTGCTCTGGCATCTGAAGGAGAGAAGAGCAGCCAGGCCCAGCTCCATCATTCCTTTTGCTCCAACTGTTGGCTCTATGCGGAGGGGACAGAAACCAACATCTTCTGGACTTATTCCCTCCACCACTATCATCGTCTTTTCCTTATGTTCTATCCTATTTTGACTGTAAGCCTGAGGGCAAGAAACTGTCAAATTAATAATTTCTAAGACTCTCTGTGAGCATTTTGGCTGAGGGGCAGTGTATAAATACTCTAAATAAATCATAAATAAATTTAAATAAAAACCATACAGAGAACTCCCCATCTCTCATCTTCCCGTCCCCAAATTGAGAAATAAAGGGAAATCGTATTTCAAAAGAAAAATGTTGTTTGCCTATTCCTCTTGCTCCGCTACTTTGATATGTTAACTTTTCAGAATCGAATGCATACCACTTCTGAACTAGATACTGAGAAGAGATTTTTCAGTATATTGTCGAAGGCTTTCAACAATCATTGGGTTGTTGTAGGTTTTTTCGGGCTGGATGGCCATGGTCTAGAGGCATTCTCTCCTGGTCTCCTGACCATGGCCATATAGCCCGAAAAAACCTACAACAACCCAGATTTTTCAGTGTCCAGTGGCCTCTGTTCTGGCTGTTATAAAGGAGGAAATGCAGTGAGGTCCTTGTGGAGAAAATCTCATAAAGTTTCTTCATGTGCCAGAATTTCTATCTTTCAGAAGATCAGTGTTATCTTGAATCGTAGTGGTCTGCCCTCACTAGAGTAGACCTTGTGATTCAACACATAGGGAAATCCAATTGAGTGCCTGGGTTTTCCCCAGTCAGGGCTAATTATGGGATTTAAGATGTACTGTGAGATGAATCAAATGAAATTTATTTTATTTGACTTGTATCTCATTTTTCTCCCAGAACTGAGACTCAAGGCCTTAAATCCTATTATTGATCCCAAATAGAGTCGAACTATTGAACTAGTTATATATATATTTTCTGTGAGTTGAGTTACCAATCTAATAGTTGATTCTGTGGCTCTAATCTAGCTGAGATTAATCAACAAGATTGCAATAGAGGTGACTTGGAACAAGATTCATACAGAGACAGATAGAACAGAATTTAAACGAGGATTAAAGAGTAATCTATATATATAATGTCAAAAAAACTATTATAATATTGAAACACGACTGAATTAAGAAAAAATACAACAGTGCTGCTGAAATGTTCCTCCTGATGAAAAGCCAATAGGGAGTGAGCCAACTTAGCACCCCATTAAAGAGTTTGTGGTGTAATGTAAAATAAACAACGTGTAGTTCATGTTTGATCAGCCCACACACTGCCTTGCCAGAGAAAGAAAATATGCCATGCAGGTGAACAGTAACGAATAAGTAGTTTACTCTTCGTAGTTCAGAAGAACATGTACAATGTGATCAGTAGCATCAACTCACATAATGTTCTTTAATGAGAGATTTAAAATGGTCTTTCTTTGTCCATGTGGATAAACTTCTTCAGCAACTCTTAAAGAGAGAGCACACACCAAACTCTGTGTCTCCCTGCTTCTCTCTGCTCTCTCTCTCTGCACATGTATAACTCAAGCCTGAACAAAAATGTAACAGTAACCAAAAGTCCCAGGCTCAGCCTGCTCCCCGGGCATTGCCCAACCAATCAGTTTCATGCATCTTATTCTACAGGGTTTTTTTTCATGTCAGGAGCAACTTGAGAAACTGCAAGTCGCTTTTCGTGTGAGAGAATTGGCCATCTGCAAGGACATTGTCCAGGGGGTGCCCAGATGTTTTGATGTTTTACCATTCTTTTGGGAGGCTTCACTCATGTACTTGCATGGGGAGCTGGAGCCAACAAAGGGAGCTCATCTACACTCTCCCCGAATTTGAAACTTTGATCTGTAGGTCTTCAGTCTTGCCGGCACAAGGGTTTAACCCAGTGGTTCTCAACCTGTGGGTACCCAGATGTTTTGGCCTTCAACTCCCAGAAATCCTAACAGCTGGTAAACTGGCTGGGATTTCTGGGAGTTGTAGGCCAAAACACCTGGGGACCCACAGGTTGAGAACCACTGGTTTAACCTATTGTGCCACTGGGGGCTCCATTTTACAATTGACACACACACATATACCTATTCCTTGCATGCTCCAATAGAGATGTCGATTGGAGAGAAACCAGCAAGACAAAATTCCCCAAGATGTGAGGATGTCATTAGGCCAGGTTTTGATTCTGTCAAAACTAAAGATTGGGTCAAAATCATATCGATATTATGGTGTAGCTTGATTTTAGCTGTGATGGGACCTTTTGTTTTGGGTTCTGCAGGTTTTGGATTCTGACCCGGTGGATCAGACTCAGGAGGTGGAGGAAGACTTGGGCCTGCTTTATGATAGCCTTGAGGAATGCAACAACAGCGACAGCGGTCCAGAAATAGAAGATAACGAAAGTGTCCACAGCACTCCTAAGCCCACTTTGAGGTAAGGTCTGGCAGAGGAAATGCACACCCGGTCACCTCTGGCTTCATGGGTCCCTGACAAGAGGAGCTCTGTGAGTGTTTCTAGGATTTCTTCCCACTTTCTTGAAGTTATCCTCAATGCAATCCCTGTGCTAGAAGCAGAAATCTTGCAGTACAGTCCTGTCTGAAGAAAGCCCCAATTGAGTTATTGAACTTAGTCTTATTCCTAGGTATGCGAGTTTAGGATTACATCTTTCACATTTCCTTTCCTGTAGCAGGGCTGGGCTCTTTGCTGGTGTCCTGACAACAGGGTGTGTGCTGTTGACTTATGAGGCATGGCTCCCGCCTTTTTGATTCATTCGTCCAGGAAAGGGAGGTTTGGGGCTATAAAGTAGCTTAGTGATAGATGTTGATAACTTGTTACTGACCTTGGATTTGACAGGGTGATAGAGAGCCCTGCATATTAAGCCTGCAACCGACCAGCGGCAATGGATGGAGCAGCAAACGCTGCTTTCCTCTGTGGCAACTGAGGATGCGAGGAGGGTGTTGCTATCCATACCTCTTCTGAACCGACCCCCTCAGATGCATGTGCCAAAGGAGATACAGCCAGAGATTGGCAGGAATAATAATAATAATAATAATAATAATAACAAATAATAACAAATAATAACAAATAATAACAAATAATAACAAATAATAACAAATAATAATCTTTATTTATACCCTGCCACCATCTTCCCAATGGGGACTCGGAGCGGCTTACATGGGGCCAAGCCCAGGACAACATGTTACTGCAAAATAAAATCAAAACATAAACAACAAGCATCATAATCAAAATTACATAGAAGAAAAAAGTATAAACACAGTAACAAAATAACATTCCAATAAACGCAATCACAATAACAGTGGGCGGGCCACATGTACAGGATGAAATGATTAAAAGACTAATAAGATAAAAATAGGAGCAGGTTATTTGCAGGGAGCTCATGAAAACACACAGGATTGTGAGACTAAAGTTCCCATTTGGAGGGCGTGTACTCCAGTTGCAGAAGCATTGAGGGGAATAATAGTGTCATGTTGTGCACCTACTCGCCAAAGGCGCAGCGGAAGAGCCAGGTCTTAAGGTTCTTTTTGAACATTTCTAGTGAAGGGGCTTTCCTGGTCTTTCCAGGTAATGAGTTCCAGAGTTGGGGAGCCACTCTGGAAAGATGGACATCAGAGGAATTATCTCCTCAACTAAGGGACATAACTCCTCTGATGTTCATCTTTACATGCCACCTTTTTCTGCAGGCCAGAAGCATGTCTGCACTCTGTAATTGGAGCAGTCTGATACCACTTTGCTATGATTCTCTCCTACATAGTTTGGGGGTTTTGTGAAGTATTTCAGAATCAGTGCTGGACATCTCCAGTGCTAGTTCAGAGGAGGAGAATGGAGCTCTCTAATGAGAATTCTAAGCATTTGACAAAACTAAAAATCCCTTTATTTATTTATATGCAGCATGTATATTCTGCCCTTCTCACCCCGAAAGGGGCTCAGGGCGAATCACAGAACACATACACGACAAACTTTCAATGCCGTTAAACAGGCAGGACAGTCATCAGATAGGGGTATATGTCAGCATTTTCCCCAGCTTTGGTGTCCTGGAGGTTGTGCTCGATTCCGGCCACAGGGGGGTATTGTCACTCCATTCTCTATGACGTAGAGCCCTTGATCACAGACTTCCTCCTTCCTTTGATCATTGGTATTCTCTGGTATTTCCTTTTTATGGTGCCGTAAAATCTCTCCCCACATAAGCGGTGCCAAATTCCTCTACTCACAGCTCACAGCTTTTTTCAAACTGCTTAGGTGGACTGTGAGCTGGGCAGAAGGTTGGTTGCTAACTTTGACCCAGGCTTCAAACTGCCAACTGTTGGATTGTTGTGATCTATTGCTACTGGTGATCAACCAGCTGTGCTAAAACCCGGCACTTAAGAGGGACCCGTGACATTTAAAGTTATAGCAAACTGCTCTTAGATGCATTCCAAATGTCCTATTCTGCTAGGCTTTGAGCTAATTATTTAGAAGACTGAGAGCCAGAATATACAGGCATGTTTTCCTGTATTTAACTCTGCAGTCCCTTCATGCTTTACAGATTCGCCTGTTATCAGGGAAACAATGTACAGAAAAGGGCTGCTAAAATGCTGAAGGAATTATCACATCTTTCATTACACATTCTCACTCAAACAGATTAAAGTTGAGATGGGAATGTTTGTACACACATTTACAAGGCATTGGGTTTGGAGGGTGTGTTTTGAAGAAATATTTCTGTTTTGCAGCAGATTAAGAAAAGGAGCACATCATGGAGGTTTATAAAAGGACATGTGGTAGGGAGAAAATGGAGAGTGAGAGAAATGTTTGTTCTTATCCAAGGAAAGTGGGATCATGTCAAACAAAAGGAAACTCCTCTTCCCATGACATATTTATGGGCTCCACAGTCAGAAGATGTTTGCTAGCTTAGGTGGTTTTCAAGGAGGGTTAGACAGATACCATTGAGTAGAAGTTATTGTTGGAAGGAATGTAACCCCTAAACTTCACCAACTCCATTCTAATTGATTGGGAGGAAAGATTGTAGCTGTATTTTTATCAATTGGACATGGAAAAGATGTGGCTTTTGTTTTGTTGGGGAATCTGAGCTGTTAGGCTCAAAAATAACCCTCAGTTGGGGTGATTCCACCATAAATATAACAGAGTACTAGAAGTAAACTTCATAACCTGCAGAAACTTACATGTGGCAAGCTAGGATAAGCTTTCTCTCCCTAGGATAGCACAGGATTGCAGAGTCAGAACTTTAGGTTCAAAAGTATGTATTGAAGTAAAAGAAATACATTCTTTTGACCCCATATAAGCCACCCCAAGTCCCTTCGGGGAGATGGAGGTGGGGTACAAAAATTAAGTTATTATTATTATAATTATTATTATTTTCTAGACAGAAAAGGTCTTGGAGCTAACTAGCTTACTAAGTATAATCTTCTGAGAAAAGTAAAAGGATAAAAAGTCAAAAAATCCATGCAGCTACATTTTGCCTAGAGACAGGCAAAATGTGCTTCCTCGTAGGTAGAAAAAAAGCAGAAGAGACTGGAGAAATGGTGCCTTTAATAGTGGCCAGCCCAGTGCAATAAAAATACCTTTAAAAAGGAAGTTCCCTCACAGAATTCAATTCCTACATCAACAAAGGCAGCGGGGGGGGGGGGGGGGGGAGACAGTGGCTAGCAGGAGGAATAAAGACAAAGCCCTTCTGGGAAGCATGCATAATAAAGTGGGAAAAGGAATCCCTCAACTTAGTCTTATCTCTAGTCTAGATCCTCCTTGAGGTCTGGAAACTTGATGACACAATGGACTTGTGCACTCCAGGGATGAAATCCAATCGTTTTACTAAAATGAAACTTTCTTTTTGAACTTCGCTTATCACAATCAGCCCTTTCCTCCTTCCTGGAACCCGTTCTGCCCTCCCCTTCCCCTCCATCTCTCTCGTGTGGATGCTAAACCAAGGTGCTGGTGGTGGGTTTGCTTGCACTGTTTTCACGGGGGCTGAGGTAGAAGCCGGGGAGGGATTCAACCTGAGGTTACGGTGACTTCACTTCTTCCTCATTTCTCTTTCTGTCTGTCTCTTTCTGTCCGTCCGTCTGTCTGTCCGTCTGTTTCTTCTGCAGGCGCTTTTTTGAGGGTGTCTCTCACTCTGGTTCCCAGACTGAGATCAGCAGTCTGCACGGCCAAAAAGGGCAGGAGCGAGAGTCGGGCAGCCCTGTGAGTTGTTACTCCTCCTCTTCTTCTTCTTCCACCTCTACTTGCACCTTCTCCTTCCTCCTACTCCGCTGCTACCAAACTCTCTTGCTTGGTCCTCCCCTCCAGAACCTTATATGCTATCTGGAACAATTTGTGCTATATATTACTTTCTCATTCCTCTTCCTGTCTTTCCTGGTTGAGCTGCTTCCTTTCCCAGTGTAGGAGCGATGGGTTAGGGGCAAGCCAGCTGGATTCCCTGAGTCAGCCAGGGTCAACCTTATCCTTGCTGATTCCCTATGTAATCTGTTCTGGGGCTCTGGGATCTGTTTCCATGTGAAAATGCAAGGATATTTTGATGTTTGGGTTCTACGGAGCCTCGCTTCCTTGGAATAGTCCTCCTTGGCTGCCATCTTTGAGCATGACTTGGTTTGAGCAGAGCCTAGGAAAAGTTGGGGTGGGGTTGGAACTACAGTTCCCTGACTGCATTGCCACTGGGGGTTCTGGGATTTGTAGCCCTCCCGCATCAGAGAAGTAATTTTTCCAAACCTTTGGATATGATATCCTTACTACTAATCTACTTTCCCCCTTTTTTCCCCCTGCGTCTCCTTTGTTCTCCCTCTCTTGCCCAGGGAGAAGCGGAGAAACGAAAAGTGGGTGCCCCTCGTACCCAAGATGAGACTGCCATGGAAACCACGGCCGTGGTGAGAAAAATCTGTCATGTTCTTAGCACCACACAAGCTGGATCTACACTACATATTAACTGCACTGAACTATATTATATGAGCCTACACTGCCGTATAATCTAATCCAATGGAGTTACTCTGCACTCTGAAACTGGATGATATGCCAGTGTAGATGAGGCCACAGAAAAGTTACTTTTTTGGACTAGAGTAGAAAGTAGAAACAGCTTTAAGGAAGCATGAAATCCAAAACAGAAAGCAGAAGGCCCGCAGTAGAGAAAAAGAGGGTTTTTTAAAGGAAGCTCAGCGAGGATAGCTCCAGGACATCACTCTTCCTTCCCTGGGCCTCCTTAAAATGCCTTGGATGGAAAACTGTGTGGCTGCTGCAGGGAGAGAAAGCACACACCTCTCCTCTGGAGTAGATACAGCTTTAAAGAAGCATTAAACCTGGTTTCCTCTACAGACAGAAGGGAAAGAATCACAGAAAGAGTGGCATCTTAACTCTGATGTTTCAATCCAGGTCTTAATGAAGGATATGGAAAGGGAGCCTATGGGAAGTCTCCCCCATAATGGGCTGGATAGGGTGCTTTATTGACCCCGTTGCTGATATCCATGCTCCCTTGAAAGGAAGAAAGGAGAAGGCCCCGGGAATGGAAAGGGGAGTCTCATAATTTCTCCATTGCCGCCAATGGGCCGGATCTAGCCACATTTATCAGCTACAGACCGAAAACGGTCATCTGGTTAAACTACCCATTTTCGGAAAGTGCACGAAAATGGATATGAGGGTCTACTGGTATCCAACCAGCAGGGACGGATCAAGGTTTGGATGAAATGCACAAGTCTACTCTGTATCAAAGATTCTGCATCCATAGATTCAATAGCCCTTCGGAAGGCAACCATAAGGTTGGTGTGGACCTCGATGAAAATAAGTTTGAAACCCCTTCTAGGCCTTGGTAGTCTTTATTAATATCTATGTATTCCCTAAAAGACATTTGGTGCAGTGTTTCGAGCACTGGATTCCAGCCCTGTTTGAATCCCTGCTCAGCAATACTTACCTACTGGATGATCTTGGGCATGTCATATTATTTCATCCTCAGATAAACAAACCCCATGATAGATTCACCTTAGGGTCGGCATAAGTTGAAAATAAATTGTAGGCACATAACAATAACGTATTCTCTCCTTTCCACAGCACCCAAACAAAGCTATACAGATATTGGGTTTAAAGTTGCCAGAGTTCTTGTGCCTTTCATAAATATATAAAAGGAAATTTCAGCAAGCAAGCCACACCTGCTTGTATTCTTTCTTCCACACAACCTTTAAGGGAACTATAGCCTTGTCCTTTATTTCACCAGAAAACCCTAAGGGATAATTCGTGGAATAAAATGTTTTGAAGAAAAAACCCCACTCCTGTGCCTTTAATAGTTGCTTGAAATAGGGACTTTTAACCTGAGCTGCTTGTCACTTAATTGCACGACAAGCCTTGCCTGCTAGGATGCCCTCTTTTTTCATGACTATTAATGGTACAGGAACCCTCTCCGGCTTTCCTTCTGGCAAGTCTTCAAATGGACCAGCTGTTTGACATTTTCATAAAACTCCAAAACAAAGCATTGGTGCTTCTTATATTTCTTGGGCAGCTTTTTGCAAAAAATATTTGTGGTGTCTTGCCAATCAAATAGGCAAAACGGTAATCCGAATTTGTAATTCCCAACTCGAGCAGACTGATTGGAACAATGTTTTATCCTACCTGACATTTGTAAATCCCATTTATTCTTAGCTGGGAATATCAGTAGGATTCATACCATCAAAAACCACATCTCACACCAGTCCTACTACTTCTTGTTGTTATTGCCATTGGTTGGATGCTTTTCATTTCCAGGCATTTTAGATATAATATTTCATATAATGTATTGTCGAAGGCTTTCAAGGCTGGAATCACTAGATTGTTGTAGGCTTTTTGGGTTATATGGCCATGTTCTAGAAGCATTCTCTCCAGACGTTTCACCTGCATCTATGGCAAGCATCCTCAGAGGTTGTGAGGATGCTTGCCATAGATGCAGGCGAAACGTCAGGAAAGAATGCCTCTATAACATGGCCATATAGCCCGAAAAACCTACAACAACCCATTTTATATAATGTTTAAAATAAAAATGTTCCAGCTCCTCATTACTTTATGTACATCTTTTGACGTTTTCACAGTTTTACTGCATATTGCTTGTTAGTTATCATGAGCATTATTTTTAAAAGTGGAGCCAAAATGTAATCATTAATTAATTAATTAATGCATCCCGCTCAGGACTTGGAGGCCGAGGAGTCCTGCCCTGGAGGGCCAGCAGAAACGGTCTTGAAAGAAAGCAGTGTGGACAGACTAGCCCAGCTGAGCAACATCAACAAGCCTGAGTACCCAGCTACTGTTTCTCCCAGGTAAAGAAGGACTCTGGCAAATGGCTGGCCTTCTTCTGTGAAATGCTCGCTGCGGTTGGAATCACAGTTTCATAGAACTGGAAGAGACCCTAAGGCAGTGGTTCTCAACCTTTGGGTCCCCAGATGTTTTGGCCTTCAATTCCCAGAAATCCTAACAGCTGGTAAATTGGCTGGGATTTCTGGGAGTTGTAGGCCAAAACACTGGGGGACCCACAGGTTGAGAACCACTGCCCTAAGGACTATCCACTCCAACATCCTTCTGCCAAGCAGGAATACACAGTCAAGCCACTCCTGACAGATGACCATCCTGCCTCTGTTAAAAAGTCTCCAAAGAAGACTTCACCACACTCCAAGGCTGTGTATTCCACTGGAAAATTGGGGGGGGGGGGGCACTTTTTTTCATATGGAGGCTTAAGGTATAAATCCCTGGTTGACAATGCAGTTCTCTCCCTCAGCAGCAGATAAGATACCCTTATCGTAATCCATAAATTATTTTGAATACCACCCAGAATATCTCTGTAGATACCATTCTAAAGATGTGTCTACACCAGGCTTGGCCAATGTTGGGTCCTCCAGGTGTTTTGGACCAACACCCACAATTCCTAACAGCAGGTAGGCTGTTAGGAATTGTGGGAGTTGAAATCCAAAACACCTGGAGGGTCCAAGTTTGCCCATGCCTGGTCTACACTGCATAGTTAGTGCAGGTTAACATCACTTCAATTACCATAGCTCAATGTTATGGACTCCTGGAGTTTATGGTTTGGTGAGGCACCCATCCTTTTTTGCTGGGAAGGCTAAAGTCATTGAACAACTACAATTCCCATGGTTCCATAGGATTGCACCATGCTAGTTAAAGTAGTGCTAAATTGCATTAATTGTACAATGTAGATGCACCTAAAATCAGTGCTTAAATCATACATCCATGGATGAGAAACCCTCAGTTGATGTTTTGTGACTGGGCATGGTACAGTGGCTATTCTCATAGCTCATTCAAACTACCTGAAATACTCTCCCTCCAGGACTTAGGCCAATCAACACTTGTTCCTTCTAGCTGTTCAGTAGCCTGGTACTTGGAAACTTGGAATTCTCCTGCATATGAGCAAGACTATTGGTTGCTCTAGTCCAGGCATGGGCAAACTTTGGCCCTCCAGGAGTTTTGTACTTCAACTCCCACAATTTCTAACAGCTGGTAGGCTGTTAGGAATTCTGGGAGTTGAAGTACAAAACACCTGGAGGGCCAAAGTTTGCCCATGCGTGCTCTAGTGTCATATTGTCATTTCCTCCTGGGAGCAGTTCCCCATACTTTCATTAGATTCCTTTTTTCACCCTGTCTGAAGATCTCCAGTGTTCTGCAATGGTCTTCCATCCCAGTTAAAACCATGCCCAAACTGTCTTAACTTTCCGAAACCAGATGTGTTCCAAAGTGGTCCAATATCAGAGTCCCCTTGCTCCAAAAAGTTTCTAGCCTGACTCTCCCCGTCCCTTTTCCAATGTCTTTTTCTTGCTTTTTTTCAGCAAAGCTGAGAACAAACAGCTGTGGCGACCTCGCAGCATGTCAGTCAAGGACAGGCAGAACTCCAAGGGTCACAGCGACCGAACAGGCAGCCTGGACAGTGAGAACTCACCAGATTCCCGGCAGAACACCCAGGTTGGGCTGTGTGTGTGTGTGTTGGTGGTCTCTCCATGAACACTGCTGAGAAAAGCATTATTTTGTACTTCTGTTTTTTGTTATCCTCTTTAATATTACTTCTATTACGTTTCATTTCATTTTTATGGGAGTTCGGGATCCAAAAGATACAGTGATTTGCAGACTTTACAAAGGGATCTGGGACATATTTTTTATTTTCATGCTTTCTTTACGGGACTTCACACGATGCAGAGTTTTTGGCTATTCGGAAAACAGGTTCACTTTGCTGGTTCTGTTATTGCAGGTGCCTCGGAAGTCTGTGTATGACCAGCTCAACCAGATCCTGGTCTCAGATGAACAGCTGCCAGAGAGCATCATTCTGGTGAACATCACTGAGTGGCAAGGCCAGGTAGGAATTCTTCAAGTTGGGCAGGAACCCATTGGGAAATGTGTCCCATCCAGCCTTCCCCAATCAGGCAGCTTTCAGACATGTTGCACTACCATTGTCAGAATATAGGAGTAGTCCAGTGTATCTGGATGGAATCGACCTGGGGAAGGTATGCCTAACCCAGTGAATATAAGAGCCCTGTGGGATCAGACCAAAGGCCTTCTGGTTTTATAGGAAGGATATCAGCAGAACACAATAGCAATAATAATAATTGTAGTAGTAATATTTTTGTATCCTTCCACCATCTCGCCAAAGGGACTTGGGGTGGCTTACAAATGTCACAAGGTACCTCAAAACAAAACATAAAATAAACACAGTGCAAAATATAATAAGTAAAACACATACGCATAAAAACATCAACTAAGACTCAGCTTCTGCCAACGTAGCAGTTCGAAAACATGCAAATGTGAGTAGACAGATAGATACCGCTCTGGCGGGAAGGTAACGGCTCTCCATACAGTCCTGCCAGCCACATGACCTTGGAGGTGTCTATGAACAACGCTGGCTCTTTGGCTTGGAAATGCGGATGAGCACCAATCCCCAGTGTCGGACACGACTGGATGTCAGGGGAAAGCCTTTACCTAAGACTCAATAAAACTTTGCTCATCAACCAGTGGCGATAAGCTGCTGTATACATGGCCAGGCTGTAAACAGTAAGACAAAGGAATGAGATACTGCAGAGCTGTAACAATGGAGAGAGGGCATGGGATAAAGTGTAAGGCTGTGTGACTGTTGCACAGAACAACTAGGGACTAAGTCCCTAGCAAAGGAGGACAGTGTGGGGCCTGCCCAATACAGTTAGTACCAAGAGCTAAGTGTCTGTCAGATCTATTTATTAATTTCTGATAATATTACAACTCAACAAATATTGCAATGTAACATACAGGACATAAAATAAACAAGATGGAAACGATAACAAAAAAAGCATGAGGATTTTCCTTCCTCCTAAACCCAATGCAGAGAGAGACCTGGCATAGGTGTTCAGCTTCTTTTCTCAATCTAATAATATTATTTTGTTTCCTGACCAGGCCCGTAGCCAGGATTTCGTTTCGGGGGGGGGGGGGGGGGGGCTGAATTTTTTTTCAAGGGGGGGGTTCGGGGGGGGCTGAGTTTCGGGGGGGGGCTGAGTCCGAGTGAAAGAGAGTCTAGCCTAGCAAACCTTTTGTATCATTACCCCAATACCCCCATGCATATGGGATATATTGAGTATGGTGATCAGTTCATGATATGAATAAACATAACAGTTTAAATAAAGTTCGGGGGGAGGGGGCTGAAGCCCCCCGAGCCCCCCCCCTGGCTACATGCCTGTTCCTGACTAAAGAAACTTGTTATAAGAAGGAACTTTACATGTCAAAAGCCAAAGTAGTAGTTTTTTTCTTCTGTTTTCTTCATAAAGGTTATGAAGAATTCCAAGTCACTTAAGAAATTATTTAATGCTTAATACTGATCCTATAGGTCAGCGGTTCCCAACCAGTGGTCTGCAAGAACTAAATAAAATATGGTCCATGGCCTCATCATTACTACACTGTTGCAACGAGAGCAACTGGTCTCGCAAAACCCTTTTATAGTGCCAAGGCTTATTAAATATTGTTTTCTGTGTGCGAGCAGATAGCAATTACTAGATGGCATATGTTCTGTATCAGAAACTAGAACTGATGTGGTCTATCCAATGCAATCTTCTGAATCAGCACCCCAAATAACCAAACCAAATCTAAAGTTGACTAAAAACTGATTTGTAACCCTTTGGTACTAATGTTGGAGAGTGGTCCGTGGTCAAATGGTCCCTGATCAAAAAAAGGTTGGGAACCACTGCTGTTGGTGTTCTCTAACCACCATTGTTAGTCTTTTCCTCTATGAATTTGTCCAGTAAAACTGTCCAAGTTGGTGGTCAGTACTATCTCTTATGTCTTAATTCTGTGCTGTGTGAAAGAATATTTCCTTTTATCTGTTCTTAAGCTAACACTCTTCACTTTCACTGGATGACTTTCCGTTCTCCTGTATTGGAGAAAAACCTCTCCACTTTTCTTCATTGTTTTTGTTTGCCTTCTTAAGGTAATTTCTTTCAGGATTATAGGCTACCTTAAGATTAACTTTAAAGACCCCTGGTGGCACAGTGGGTTAAATCGCTGAGCTGCTGAACTTGCTGACCAAAACATTGGAGGTTCAAATTAGGGAATTGGGGTGAGCTCCCACTGTTAGGCCCAGCTTCTGCCAACCTAGCAGTTCAAAAACATGCAAGTGGAGTAGATCAATAGGTACCACTTCTGCAGGAAGGTAACAGTGCTCCATACATGTTGGCCACATGACCTAGGAGGTGTTTACGGACATTGCTGGCTCTTCGGCTTAGAAATGGAGATGAGCACCAACCCCTAGAGTCAGATATGACTATACGTAATGTCAAGGGGAAAATTTTACCTTTACTTTAAGATGAACTTATAGCAGGGTTTTCTGTGATCGAGGTGTGTGATTTGCCCGGAGTCACCCCCATTGGTTTTCATAGCAGAGGAGTATTTAGATCCTGCTCCCCAGAGTCGTAGTCTAATACTCAAACTACTAGGCAATGCTGGCTCTCTGGACCACAGCTAAAATAAGACCAATAAAGCCAAGCTGTGCTGAAATACAATTGCAACCTTTATGGAATTTCTCATAAAAGTGAATGGCTTTTTGTAGCCTTTGGTGTTATTTATTTCTGTATTATCAACTTATTTGTGGTTTTCCTTCCAAATTGGATTAAAATGACCTACAACTGAAGTATAAAAAAGATTAGAAAATACATTATAGAAGTAATGATGGGTGAACCGTATCTCAGCTCAAGTTGGCATTCAGTTGGTATTTACAGCTTGTTCTGGGGGAAAGCTTGTCTGATTTTTCCCCCCCTCTGAGTTCTGTTTGGCACAGTCTATTTTTTGGTTTTCCACTCCATAAAAAGCAGTTCTGTTTTTCAGTGAATTTTGAATCGCTTCTCAGTATGTTAGTGCTTTCTTTGTCCAGAGCCGTTGGCAATGGTAGCTGTGTGAATCTGTAGGCAATAAAAACAAAAACCCCAAGGGCATTTTAAAAACTAACAAGTTTTATTTGGTATAAACTTTCATGGACTTTGCCTCAGATGGAAGGAGTATTTCCTGTTTTCTTTTCATCCTTAGATGGGAGGGGAATATTAGGGACTACGAATCAAGTTTTAAGTGTTTGAGAGGAAAGATGGTAATTCTAGAAAGGGTATACCGATCTATTGCCACATATATGTTAACCTATAGGGGCTGCAGTGGTGGAGTGGGTTAAACCGCTAAGCTGCAGAATTTCTGGTCAGCGGTTTGAATCCGTGGGATGGGGTGAGCTCCCGCTATTAGCCCCAGCTTCTACCAACCTAGCAATTTGAAAATATGCAAGTGTGAGTAGATCAATAGGTACCACTTCTGCAGGAAGGTAACAGTGCTCCATGCAGTCATGCTGGCCACATGACTTTGGAGGTGTCTACAGACAACGCCGGCTCTTTGGCTTAGAAATGGAGTTGAGCACCACTCCCCTGAGTTAAACTCAACTATACTTAATGCCAAGGGGAAACCTTTACCTGTATTGGTGTTGTGTTACTCCATCAAGTATCACATCCTTGTATCTGTCTTTCTATTCCTTCAGTAGCCACCCGGTTACTTGTGACAAGTCTACAAAAAGAACATGAGGGGAAAATTCATCTTTCTGCTCATGTTCCTCAGTGATAGTCACTCAGAGCCATGCCAGCTCCAATATTGGAGAGAATGCATGACTGGTGACTACCAATAGTGTTCTCCTCCATGGATTTGTCTAATCCCTCTTAAAACCACCCGCAATGGCTGCCATCACTATAGTTTGCCTTATCCCATGGATTGAGTGCTTTTCAAGTGAGTTTGTAAAACATTTGCATTCCAGTTTAATCTACTCAGCCTCAGGTTTGTGGTTTTGTGTCAACAGTATCTGTGTGACCAGCTCCAAGATCACAAGCAGCCCATTGTCTCCACCTGCTCCATGGCAGATGTCCAGGCAGCCTTCAACACAATTGTTTCTCGTATTCAGAGATAGTGAGTATCATCTGAGAAGCAGCAATGGAGCTAACAACAAGTCTTGTGCTGTAGTTTCCCAAACTAACCTATTGGGAAGGGCTTTTGGGATTTGGGGAATATGCCTGGTTTCAACCTCAGGGAGAGGAATTCCTCTTTTATTTAGTCTAACTTTTCACAGCCCCATATTCTCTGTCCTCTATTTGATGGCTCCCATCATCTTCACCCAATATAGCCATTACTGATTGGGGGAATGGGAGGTGGAGGCCAGTGCATTGGGAGAGCATGAGGTTTGAAAGGACCATCATAATCCAGTAGGAAATAAATTCTAGGATGAGAAAGGTTTGTGGCCTGATGGTAATAACGTTGAATCCTGTCTTGGAGCTACATCTTTGCAAACATCTCAGCATCCTCTCCCCACTTTCCCTACAGCTGTAATTGCAATTCCCACATGCCTCCCCCAGTGAAAGTGGCCGTGGCAGGGGATCAGAGCTACCTGAGCATCGTCCTGCGCTTCTTTGTGGAGCAGCTGGCCAGTAAGACTCCAGACTGGCTCAACTACCTCCGTTTTCTCGTGGTGCCCTTGGGTAAGAGTCCTGCTTTGCGATCTGGCGCTGGGAGATCATGGGTTGTCCTCTCCCATTGTAGACTTCTATCTATTTATAGGACTGTCTCTTCAGCCATCCAAAATAAAATATGATCTAGAAAAAAGCAGAAGCGAGTCCATGTAAAGGTGGACTTTGCTCATAATGTACAACAATAACACTCTGAACACACTTGATCTTGTCTGATTTCAGAAGCTAAGCAGAGTAAGGAATGAGACACTACCAGGTTGTGTCACATTGTAACTCCTGTGTCACGGATTCCCCGGTGGCGCAGTGGGTTAAACCCCTGTGCCGGCAGGACTGAAAACCGACAGGTCGCAGGTTCGAATCCAGCTCGAGCTCCTCATGCGGGGACATGAGAGAATCCTCCCACAAGGGTGATAAAACATCAAATCATCCGGGCGTCCCCTGGGCAATGTCCTTGCAGATGGCCAATTCTAACACACCAGAAGCGACTTGCAGTTTCTCAGATCGCTCCTGACACGATTAAAAAAAACCTCCTGTATCAGTATGGTGGTGAATACAAGCTTGATGGAGGGCTATCTAAAGTGCTGAACCTCTTTTGGGAAGACAGTTAGCACTTTTGATATTTGCTTAAAAGTTTGGACCAAACCCAGTTTTAGCACTTTGCTATCATAAAAACCACACCATTGCTATCAAGAAACCTGGAATTAAACTTGTCTGAAAACCCTAAAGGAGCTTCTGCCAATCAGAGTTGGCAGTACTCGGCTAAATGGATCAATGGTTCCATTCAAGGCTATGCTAATTCCCATGTTTTAAACTCTTATACTAGCAATAGGGAAAGTGCAGCCTGTGGGTCATATACAGGACAGTGTATCCAGATATTTGCTCACCCCTGCCATAGACATATATCCCTGCTTAGTAAGGAGAATATGGAAATGTTTCCTGCAATTGTCTTCCTTGATTTCCCCCACTAGATCACCCTTTAATTGCTTCTCTGTGCCTTTATACCACTCCTAGGCTCTCACCCCTTGGCCAAGTACCTTGGTTCTGTGGATAACAGGTACAGCACCTTGTTCCTCGATGCAGCTTGGAGAGAACTCTTTAGCAAACTTGAACCTCCTAATTCAGGTAATAGCCTCGAAAGGCCTAGCTCTAACATAATACATCTGGGATAAATAGAGGGGCCCCAGGGATGTTGTGTTATCTTGCCCTTTGGCTTGTCTCTCTCCAGATGCTGTGGACGTCCCTGGCCGGATCGCCCAGTTCATCTCGGGCGCCAACATATCACATCAGCTGCCCATTTCTGAGGCCATGTTAACCTACAAACAGAAGAGGTAAGAAGGTTCAAGGCCTTTGTTCTTTCTTTTGTCACATCTCTAATTCATGAGTGTGCGCTCAGTAATGGAGGTAGCCACTCAGACCCCTGCCACCTTTCTTGGGGCGGGGGGGGGGGGGTTCTCTTCACTCATAGGTCACAACTGCATTACTGTCCTTTCAAGGATTGTTGTGCTGAACTAGGTAATGGGGAGACATAGATTTTGGTCACCAAAGTGTGTCTTGTGGACTTTGTGGCACCTCGTGGCACATGAAGCCCCCACCAGATCCCCTAGACTTTTACCATGATTTTCAGAAATGTTTTGCTGAAAGCATAAAGTCCAGGAAACAGGTGAAAAATGTGGAGATGCCTCCGTGGCAGAAGCTCCTCAGAACTCCATGTTGAGCAAGTGGGGTTATTAACAAAAGACCCTCCTCGTAAATATACAGCAGAGTAACTTATTAGCAACAGCGTGACCCAGCACCAGGAGCCCAAAGTGATCAAAAGAACAAAAACACAAAGACCAATGTTATCTCTTCCATAGGAGACCTTTCTTTATAGTAAAATAATATGGTTGCACTATTTACAAGAACTAGGTTTCCATAACACAGATAAAGGAATACATAGTAGCTTTACACTCAGCAGCGTTCACACTGGAGCTTTCTCGCGTGAGGCTTCTCTCACACAGAGGTTTACCTCACACTCCTCAGGGCGACACTAGCTTTGGCCCACTAATTCTAACAGGCTTCGGCCTACTCACTTTCTTCAAGACGACACTAGCCTTGGCCCAATGAATTTCTGACACTCCATACCCCACATTCCTCTCAAAAATGGAGACAGGAACCAATTTCAGAAGGATTGCAGAGAAAACCCAACCTTGTTGTAAAGAGGGTATGACTTGTAAGGGTGCAGAGAAAAAATTGTTCCCTTTTACCCATGCGATTGCGTGCCCATGCCATAGACTAATTTTTCCCATGCACTTCCTTATAGTGTAGGGGCATGATTCTCACTTGGGGTGTGAGAGGTCCCGGGTTCATATCCCGGACGAGCCCCCAACTATAGGGCCATGCCAATGGTTCTGTGTTGTCCAGTTGTGCCCCTGAAGCACAAGGCATCAGGGTGAGAGCAGGGCCAACGGAGAATTTATTCTTCCCTCCTTCCATCTCTTTCTCTCTGGGGATGGAAATGGAAAGACGTTCCTAAGTGCCAGAATAGAAGGCATGTGGCAGGTGGTGCTTTTGGGGAATTGCAAGTGCTGTTTCTGTGCTTCCTCCCCCCACAGTTCGGTTATGTGGGGTACTTCAGGCCCTTCTGTTCTCTGCTTGCCCCTGCAGCCAACGGGGATTGTTACACAGTACGTACGGCTGGCTTGCTGCACTCATGGGGGGAGCTTCTTGGGAATTTGGGGTGCCAAGGGGAGGGGGCAAGAAAGCTCATGTTGCTTTGGGGCTGGAATTCTTCCTGAGTTGAATGCAACCATGGGCATGCATGGTGGTGCTTTCTAGACACCTCGACGCAGGCATGGTAGCACGTTCGTACCTGTAAAGTAGGAGCTCCCCTCCGGATTCATTTCAAAGCATGGGTTCAAAGGACAGTGAAACAGGTGCCAAGATATTCACAGGACCTCTGCCTTCCCATTGTCATTTCATTTGACTCACCACTGAACGTTAGTGGTCTGTCATAGCAAATTGTGAGCAGTCAAAAAGCATGCAGTGAGTAATGCAGTGAGTAGGCAATGAGTAAGTTGAGATTGTGTCACTTGGACTGGGGCCCTTAGAGCATCACAGTTCCATTTTAACTGCCTTGGCAACATCCTGTGGAGTCCCAGGATTTGCAATTTAGGGAGAGGTATTTAGAATTCTCAGGCAAAGGGTTCTAGCGCCTCTTCAAACTACAAATCCCAGGATTTCATTGGAGAACCATGGTACTTTAAACTGGAACAGGGCTATAACTGGATAGTGTTGGGATTTTTGCGACCCCAACCCAGACAAGGTGGAAACCATCTGCTTGCTTTTAGGGAAGAGTGAAGAGTGACCAGCTCAAGCCTGACCTCTGTTACTAGGATGCTTGCACTTCATGCCGTACATATTACTTGCATTTATAGCCCGCCCTTCCTTCAATGAGCTCAAAATAATAATAATAAGAATAAGAATAAGAATAAGAATAAGAATAATAAGAATACTGTATTTATATACTGCTCTATCTCCCCGAGAGGGACTCTGGGAGGTTTCCAAGTAACATCACCAAAACATATAAACAGCATGACATAAAATTAACAAAACAGCATAAGCATAACAATATCACAATAATACATATATATTAAAATAATCCTGTCTGTTCAGAGCAATTAAAAGGCCGGGCCGAGGTTAGTGCAAACTCAGAATATGAGGGGGCTGTAACAGGCCAACAGCAATAGCAGGTACAGGTCTGTGGCTGCTCATTTCCAGGACCTGTTAGAGGGATGACCGGGGTAATAGGTAGGAAGTATAAGGCCAAATTCAACAATGTTTGGGACTGGGCTAGAACTGATGGAGTACATGACTAAATTTCTCCCCACTACATTTTCACAACAACCCTGTGATGTAGGTCAGATTGCAAGAGGCAAAGAGAGTGGCCAGTCCAGAGTCACCAGGGAGTTTCATGGCTCTGTGGGGTCTGCAACATGGACTCCCTCACTCTAACTACTAGACCACACTGTCCGCAACTCATTACCTTACATTCTCCTGTGCTAGCATGAGCCAATGAGCCAATGAAAGGAAGTGTATCTATTGCTGTGGCAGCCAGTATACCAGCAATTGTCTATAACCTTGTGATGGGAAAAGAAGGGGTCCAGGATTACGGGTCACAGAGGGGCCTATTCACTCATTGGACCAGACACTTGGCAGGTGAGGAAGGGGAGATGAACAGGATTTGGCTGGAGATGACAAGTCACCTTTCGTTGAACAACCTCAGATTGTTAGCCAAGCGGAGTTCTCCAGGTAGATCTTAAGAGTCATGAAGGGAGCATATCCTTTGCTGGTGTGTCATTTGGTCGCTATCCAAATTGGTCCAACAGTACAAATACCCCAAAGAATGTTTGGGGAGCTACCAAAGCACAAAGACTCTGAGCGTTGTGCTCATTATGGTCACCAAAGACTGTGCAGCACGGTCATCTTGAGGAAGTCTAATGTCTTTAGCCAGCCTGTAACATTCAGCTCCCAGGAAGGTCTGAATTTCAAGCAAGGGTCACTTGAGCCCAGTATGCTGAGGATGTGATTGG